CGTTGCTTGCGCTGACGTGACGCATCTCATAGCCACCCAGCTTCTGGCGGATGTCGCTTGCACCGAACTGTGCCTTCTATGCCGCACCATGTTACTCATCGATCAAGATCGCGATTTGCCTCTGCCGCCTAGCTAGTCTTCGTACTTTCAGTGCAACGACCGTCTCGACTGCGAAGCTGCGAGTCTTTGGTGCGATTCGCAACACAGGATTGACGCTCGACGAGGAGCTGGACGATGATATGCACAGTAAGACCATTCATGTACCGAACGTATCGATCGCAGCATTCTCATGTTTCCCACAGATGACATGCGCCACCTCCCGACTTAGGACATCGACGAGTATCAGGCTATTCTCGCAAAGGTGTGTTCCCGTCAAAGACGCTTCCCAATATAGCTACGCGTGCTGACTGACAAATTTGTATGCGCAGCTTCAGACGTCGACCACCGCGCTCGATCTTGCGCAGGCGCCTGAAGGGCAACACCATTCGTACAGCGGTGCACCTCGCTCTCCTCAACCGCGCTACAAGCCTTCAAGCGAGTGGCCGCAGTCCCGTGGCAGCCTGCGTCCTGACGCTATCGGACGGCGCAAGAAGACGATTCTAGCCCTGGCAGATTAGCAAGCGCTGAGCTCGGTTGCATTCCCGCATCGGATACACCGAACGTCCCGCAGCTCACGCCTAGCGCGATCGCGCGCCTTGTGAAACCCGGATTACTTGTCTTCGGCCGTGATTCGCCCGTCTCCCTGGCGGACCTCTACGCGGCAATTCGCTCGGGTTCTGGCAACGCCCTCAGAGGTGGCTACAGTAGCGCAACTGCTGCAGCGCGTCTCGACGAGCAGCAGCCTGGGTACTCCCATCTCGCTGGCAGAGGCAAACCCGTCCATCGACATCCTGAACATGGGGAGTCTGCTTTCCGGAGATTCGCTGGACAGCCTTGGCCAGGGGTCGAGTACCTTGGACCGCAACGGACAACCGCAGGCACCGTTCGATGATGTCGCTGCTGGCGCGTACGGTTAAGCACGGGTAACAAGGCGTTGTGCCAGTAGCCAAACCATACAGACATATATTGTGCCTCGACTTTATTCTTTATTGTCAATCCCCTACGATGTGGTTTTCTGTTTCGTATTGTCTCCCTCTCAATAGGCAATGTATATGGCTATACTATAATTATAATATCAATACACAATCTGCGCGCTCTCGTGAACGAGTGTCGGTTGGATGACGAGGGAAAAGGCTGTGGCGCGAAGAAACAAGGAGAAACGCATTTATTGTCGGTGGTCACGCGACTTCTGGTTCATCCTTTCTTTGACCTCGCGATCCTCCCGACGCGATTTTCCTTCTTGCTGTCATGGCCTCCCCATCCCTTCCCACTCTCAACGAGTCCAGGAACGCCATTGAGGTCGCTCGCCCTTCGCTGGGAGTCTTTGCGCAGGGGAGACAGGGATGAGGGCCATTCCCCGTCCTAGCTGCTCCTCGCAAGACGAACTTCGCGGTAGCGCCCAACCGTTCGCGCGGCTCACGCATAGGCGCCTCGGCCATCACGCGGTGCCGCGTGCCTTGTCCTTGCCTGCCCTCTGCATCGTCCAGCATAGCTCGCCGGCTACTCTCAAATCTGCCCAACACATCTAATATCGCGCTGCGAATTTCTCCGAATCCCACTCGATTGTTACGCCGCAACACGCACTGTGATACCCGCCACACCCGCGGATCGCCGCACATCTCCGAGCGCGATCTATGGCGACTATACCTGCGAAGGCCGCGCTTGAACCCGTTTCGGCTCTCCGCTGTCCCGAACCTTCCATATCCGCTCAAACTGTGCCTGGCCCGTCGACGCCAGCACCGATCGAGACCACGGACGCGACTGCGGCCGGGTCTGCTACCCCCGCAGTCCCCGCACGCCCCGCACTCTCGTCTCCCACACAAGCTGCGATTGAGCCTGTTCCATTCCCCAATAGGGCAGGTAAGGAGTTGTTACGCCTTTTGATACTCCCTATTAACTCTCTTTCCAGTCAGCCATGCCCGAATGACGAAAGCGTCAACGATACTGAGTACGGAGGGCCATCAGATACCTCGCAGAAGTCGGCAGCGCGGCGGCCTCGTGCCTGGTGGAGGTGTGGTAGATGCCCTGGAGATGCTCGACCACGTGCAGGTGCCAATTGGCGGTGGCGAAGGGCAAGAGGATGCGAATGAAGAGGAAGGCGCATCGCGATCGCTTCTCCAGCGAATTGTTGACGCTATACTAGGTTTGTTCGATGGGTGGTGGTGCGGTTCGGGCTGATAGCATCTGTGATTTGATTTTGTATGTGCTTGCTCTGAAATATTGTATCTTGCTTTCTTGCTGCCGCTCTATGTCTCATGCTTTCGTTTGTACATATCTACCGCATATAATTCTACACGAATAGGAGCAAAGCAACATTTTATTTCACAATCTACAGTACTACAGTATTAACATACTAGCATACAGGGGGACGACGTGAACTACGATAACGAACGAAAAAGCAGTTCACACGCGCAAGCAATGGCGGCAGCGCACGCAAGGTGCGAGCGAACGTCGCGGAGCGATGTCTCGCATGCGAAAGCGCACACAGTGGAAGCAAAGCTGTCCGTATACACAAGTGATGGCGGCGCGAAGCGCCGACAACGCGGCCAAGCGATACGTATACGCTAGCGATGGAGGCGGGAAGCGCCGGCACCGTGCGTAAGGTGCGAGCAAACGTCGTGGAGCGACGTATCGCATGCAAAAGCGTACGCTGCAGCAGCGCGAAGCGCACATGGCGGGAGCCGCGCCGAGCACCAGCCGTGTCGCCTCGTTGCGTTGCCATGTCACGGGCCAAAGCGGGAAGCGGATTGCGAGCGTAAGCCCCGCCGTCTACCGTCAATATCGTCAGTCGAGCGTCAAAGCAAGACTACGTGACCCGTACCACGAGAGTTAGCACACAACCGGGCGCTGACGACCTCAACGGGCGGCTGGACGTCTCGCGCGCATGTCCTGACACTCGCGTGAGGACGGGCGACATAATGAGGCACTATTAGCGCACGACGTACCTGAGACTGGCGCTTGCGAGACCAGTACGCGCACTGGCGCGAGGTTTGTTGGACGAAAATAGCCGAAGTAGGGTTAGCGCGAGTCAGCTCTCGGTGACGCGTGCGACGTACCTTGCGCGGTCGTCGCGCTATGCGTCCAATGAGCGGCCCGTGCGCTGGCGCTCAGCACGACTACCGTACCTGTGCGAGTAGTTAGCGACTACACGCATGAAAGTTAATGCGACGCACCTGGAGCCCCAGATGGCACCCAGCTACAAGGCAACATACTACGCCGAAAGCCAGAGCGGACGCGAGTCAAGGGCCTACGCCAACCAGTCCATAGAGTCGAGGAGAACGGGCGGGATAGGGAGG